CGATCATAGTCATAAATTATTGCCATGACTTGGCAGGGAGACATGGCAGACAACACACTGGACCCTGACCAATTATAGCTTGCTGTCCTTCATGACTTCACTGATGTATGTAGGTGATCATGAAGGAGGTGCAAGGGGCCGACTTCCCGGTACCACTTGACAGCACCAACAAATGTTTACAATCCCGGTATATGAATGAAACTGAACCTGAAACCATTCATTGTCACTCAGCCGTGAAGGTGGGCACTGCATATTTCCTCCCCTGTCAGTAGAAAGAGGGTGAATGTGGGGGCTTACATGTAGTGTGCAGGTGTGATTCATTTAGTGTAATGCTCCTGACCAGAGGGTACATGTTTGCAGGTTGAGTTAATTTTTACTAGTGAAAAATCTCCACTGAGATTTGTTCTCGACACCCCATCAAGCTGGCCCATTACAAGCTAATATTGTGTGGTCTGATCCTGGCCTTAGGAGGAGGTCCAGGCTGAATGGTTGGGTTAAGAAAGCATGCAACACAGAAGACAGCTGTTCAGACTGTTGCTGTTTTAGTTTCTTTAAACCATAACCACAGTTTTTCCCTAATCTTAACCAAGGAGTTTGAGGTGCCTAAACCTAGCTAAACACTGTCAAAGAATGGTTTCCTGCAGTGCCAAATCAGAAAACATTCATATGAGTTGTTTTAGAGACCAGTGTTAAACAACAACATGGCACCCATAAATGACATGAAAACTACATTAAGTCTAGTTTTTAGAGTGAGTAACAAGATGCACCAAACATGGTTTTCTTTAAAGAACATGTTCTTGTTGGACTTGACTGAGTACAGCCACAAACAAAGGGACAACAAGATGGAGCAAAAATCAATGAGAAGGGAATCAGGGGAGAGAGAGGGAGAAAAGTGAAAGAAAGAGAGAGATTGATGTGCAGCCACTCCACACTCCACTGCCCACTAATTACTAAGTCCACACCAGGCTCTTCATCACCTGCTCCTTTGTGTGTGGGTGTTATTTGTGGACACATGTCTGTTTGTGTGTCCACACCCAAGCAAAGTGTAGGTATCCAAGGAAAAACATTGGAAGAAGTGGAATACAGAGAAAGGGCCTTGTAGCATGGAAGTTATTGTAGATGACATTAGTCGTGTTCACTGGAGGATTTCCTGCCACTAAATATCACCTAAATATACTGAAAGACTGAGCATTTTTACTGTGTGTTCTGTGGACAAGTACAGATCCCTTTAAGCGATAAGGATGGCATTATTATTATTCTTATACTAATTATTGCAAAGCTTAATTTAACTTTTATAATGAGGTTTTATGTCTCTGGTATACACCAGGGAGACCAACAACCTAATTTTGGCCCAATATGACACTGTCTATCTCACTGCAACAGTTCTGATATTTGAAATAAAAATTCAGTTACGTCAGCACCTGCCTGTGCACAAATCGTAATTTGCATCCTTTAGACAGTGAATGACAATGAATGGTTGACTCACTCAGTGACTGTTTATTTAATTGATTTGGTGACTGACTGACTGATTGGCTTGTCAAAAGACAGGCTGACTGGCTCATTCACTGATGGACTGTGTGTGACAAATGCTCTTATAAAACGTCTCACAGAGAAGAGATGAAACAAATTCAGATGTATTTTGTAGGATGTTACATAAGTTTCAGTCCTGGCTAGACAAAATGATGACGCTGTTTTAGACTGGCTCGTCAGCACTTCAGAGGTTTTAATGATAATGATCATGGTGTAATCTATGTCCTGTCAGGAAGACAGGACCAGTGGAACATGAATATAAATATGTCAGCATGATATATTACACACTATCAGTCACACAGCTGTCACAGTACTGTACAGCTGAAGACAGTTCATTTGGTCAAGGAATCAAGAAAGAAATTCACATTCAGTGCACAGTGGCTAGAATTATTTTCACACCACCAGGACAGAAAAGGTTTTTAAGATTATGTACATAATGCTGGAAGGTTTGTTAAAAGATCTGCTGGTTCTCAAAATGTGACTATAGCATCTAATTTATGTGACTGGAATATAATCATCAGCTGTCCTCCTCTGTGTGTGATATCTCCCACAATGCACTGGGTGTATGATGTTCCTGCCTCAATTTTGGATTCAGAGTCAGTTTTTATATTGCATTTGTGTGAGTGTGTGTCTTTTTGTCTTCATGCATGCCAAGCCTCTGTGCTCATATGGCTACTGTCCTGTTTTCAACAGTGTGTGTGTGTGTGTGTGTGTGTGTGCGTGTGTGTGTTTTTGCACAACCCCGGTGGCTAGCCGTGTGAAGCCTGACATGAATTATCCAGTTTCTCTCTCTTCTTCTGTAATAGAAAGTGATTGAAGGGTCTTTTTAGAGTAACTCTGAGGTTTTCTGCAAGGGAGCTTGTTTGGCCAGATCAGTTTCAAATTACAGTGTCAAGTCCCCCTAAACTTAGACCATATCGCTTTAAGAACCTACATACACTCATGTACACACACCTCGCTTGGCTTGCAGCATGTAGAGCTGGGATGCAGTCCACATCTGCGCTGGCCTGTTTGAAAGCAGCATCTGGGCATGCTCAGTGAGCAGGAAGAGATAACACACATCCAACACTTCTGGAGGGCAAGAGAGAGAGAATTGATGTGTGTGTGTGTGTGTGTGTGTGTAGATTAGATATTTAAGGTACATTAGCATGCTAGTAGTGCCTCTCAATAGAAAGAGCGAGCAGCTACTAGATAAGAATGATATGCTTACCCATGGTATAGATAGGTATTATTTGTTTGTTCCCTGGGACATTATTTCTTCATTTTTGGTTTACCTTTATTGGGCTGTGAATAAATAACACAGATCACTGATCAATACACACAAACACACACAAAATGGAGTGAGGAAGCTGCCAATGGCATTTAGAGAGTTATAGAAGGTTGTAGTGGGATGAGGGAGATTTAGACGGAGAAGTGAGCGAGTGACAGAGTATATTAAATTATATAAGGGCTTAAATGACCAAGGATGAAAGGAGTGCGTAAGACAGAGAGGGAGTGACAAAGAAAAAGACTATTGGTTGACCACTTTATCAGTATAATGCCTAACTGAACATGGAAATAGAGAGACAAGTGTGCAAGTGAGGAATAGAAAGAGATAAAGATGAGAAGAGAAGGAGGGGTGAGGGAATAGAAATATAAGCCAGGAGTGACGTTGTGAGAGAGACGTTCATGTTTCGTGAATATATACGTATATCAGGCCTACGAAAGATTATTACATCACCTTATAATATTGGGTTGACAAAAAATTACAGTTGACCATAAAGCACATTGGAACCATACTACCAGTGCAGGTTTCTTTTACCACAGGCATCAACTGATTTATGTGGGTGACACTGCAGGTCATTACAGCTTCTACCTTCTGTTTGCGCTTTTTCCATTTTATTAAAAACGTATACGTTTTCTATGGTCTGGGGTTGTGCTACTGATTTAACCATGTCTCCTATAAATCACAACATAACACAGATAAATTTTTCATTTGTTTTTTCATGGGATATATTATTCATTTTCACTGGGAATATATATATATCCCATGGGGCTCAATTAAGAGACTAAGACTGTGATACAAGAGCACATATAACATTAGCAGAAAGAGTGAGAAATGGCTCCATTCAGCCATAATAGACTGCGTGGGAGTGAAGGAGGGCTGCTGAAAGTAAAAAGTGACAGGTAGAGAGTCTTGTTTTATAATTCATTACCAAGTGTGTGTGTGTGTATGTGTCTGTTCCAAACCATAATAGTGTATGAAGCCATTGCTCTCTGCATTGACCTTCTACTGTTCATTTATAGTTGATGATTTGATTTTGTTCCAAGTGCTAACCCTGAAAAGGAAGCATTTATTTCTAATTATATTAAACAAGGTACGTCACCCCTGAGAAAACTATTAGCCCTATCAGAATACATTAATCTCTGTGTTTGGCCATGCTAATGTATAATGATTGTACAACACACGGGCTAGATCTGGTTCCTGACTTTTGTTTAATGACTTAAATATCAGGCTGTATTGTAATACTATACTTTCAACAGAAGGTCAGGACTTAAAGTGTCAACAGACGCTTTACATTTGGGGAAACTGCACATCTCAATTTGAGATCATCGTGGTTGTTAGTCGAGCTAAAGGCGATTCAAGTGGCTTTTTTAGGGGAAGACTTAGCTCAGTTTAGGGTTCACACAGTTTTCTTGTTTTTGAGTATTTGAATGCATCACCAGCTCTTAAAAGGTTAATTGTATGCAGTGATTGAATGACGCGTGTGAAATCAATAAGAGATCATGGCTTTGACTGGGATTTACCCAGTCAGCGTGTTTCATGGGAACAGCAGGTAATCTCGTTTATTCATTCATTTGACTCATTTGTAAATGGAGCAGAACAGCCAGCTACAAAGAGTAGTGTGCAGACTGCTAATGGTGTGTGTGTGTGTGTGTGTGGTGTGTGTGTGTAGGTGTATCTCTTTTATCAAGTGAGAAAAGTAATTTAAATTTCATGTTTCAACTATAGACACACACACACACACACACACACAATGCACAACAAAAGCCTAACAGCAGGTGTAGTTCATAACCTGAGGCAATGATTAGACTTTGATATTGACATCAGACACACACACAGACCTGCAAGTCAGTGGGTCAGAAATTATGTTTGTTAAATTGAGTCTGTCTTTCGTTTCTGTCACTATAGACTATAGCTTATAATCTTTCTGTCTGTTGGAGTGAAAGAGAGAGACACATTCCTTTAATCCTTCGGACTTCAGGTGCCTCAAGTCAGTCATGTCGACTTTATATCGGCACTGGTCTTACAAGGTCCAAGTACCTCTTAAATGAGCTTATTTTATGTCCAATCAGTATTTTGCTCAGGAACTCCTTTGCAGGTGAGGTGCAGGTGAGGACCTTGAGGAAATCAAATCTGGTTCTACAGAACGCCACGCTGCTGCTGCCCTCCTCCGTAACCTCTCTTTCACTTCCCTCTTTCTCCCCAGGTGAGGATGATGACGATGAGGAGTGCGGTGAGGAAAAGCTGCCGTCATGTTTCGACTACGTAATGCACTTCCTCACTGTCTTCTGGAAGGTTCTGTTCGCCTTCGTCCCACCCACGGATTACTGGAACGGCTGGGCCTGCTTCGTCGTCTCCATCTGTATGATCGGACTGCTCACCGCCGTCATTGGTAACTCACAAGACCACTTTGAAATTCTAACATAATTGTACATTAACAAACATGTTTTAAAAGGTTATTAAATGTCCACAACAGGCAAATGATAGCATGTTTATTGACCGAATTCTGGATTGGATTGGATTTTTGTGGTACTTAGTGAACATATTAAAAAATATTTTTATAGCGTTACAAACAACCAATATGTTTAGTTTTATCTTCATCAAGTATTTGACAGATGAAGATCAGTATGTAAAGAATATTTAGCATTTTAGAATTATCTTTTTTTAAGAACGAGTGCTTTAATAGAAGTAGTACTAAATATATGATGATGATGGTGATAATGATGGTGTTCCTTTCATATTATTACAGGGGACCTGGCTTCTCATTTTGGCTGCACAGTGGGCCTGAAAGACTCAGTCACAGCTGTAGTATTTGTTGCATTGGGAACCTCTGTACCAGGTGAGTGTGTTTATATGTACATATACATGTACTGTATGTTAGCTCTGTTGTTCCAACACTGCCGCTGTTTTCATCATCTTAAATATCCCACAAACTTTAATTAAAGACCTTCCTCCCTCCACAATTGGCATTAAGGCCTTTATTAGCATACAATACCTCAAAGTTTTCGATTTAGAAATATATTTGTGCTCATTTCTAAATCGAAAACCTTGAGTTATTGTATGCTAATAAAGGCCTTAATGCCTTAATCTCTTTATGGAGTGTACCTTGACATTTTCAATTCCTTCCTTCAGTTTTTATTACTAGGATCTTTATTCGTCCCATGTCTATTCTTCAGTTTGTATACTGCAGAATACAAAAGACAGACCTTTACTGAGTGTATTCCTGCACTGGTGACTATTCTATAAAAGCTTCATTAAGGTTAGTGCTCTTTTAAACGACAATCAAATTAAAATTAAGGATAGCTATAATTACCAATGTAGCTAAGGTTTTTGCACTTACAGAGAATGGCAGAAATGCACTAAAGATGGGGAACTTGTTGAGAAACTGGAAAGAAGGTTATTTGGTAATAGAAAACAGGTTTTAATTATTATTCATTAATGGAAAATGATAGTCACAACTTTGGCAACATCTGCCTTCATATGGAAAAACATGAAAAGTTCAAAAGAATGCACAGCTCATATTATTCCCTGCTGTCATGCTGAGGGAGTTTTTACTATGAGACCCAGTAGTTCCCAGTCTCTCCAGTGTATCTATATATGTGGGAGTCTGTTAGAGGAAACAGTGCAGTCTGCAGACAGCAGCATTGATCATCCGCTAAATGTGAAGAATGACCAACGACTGCAACGGCTCGCTAAATATGTTTTAACCTTGGCCTCAGTCTCCTGCTTCTGCACACACACACACACACACACAGAGAGAGAGACACACATATGCAGACATGCATGCAGACACACAGCACATGCTTGGATGCTAGATGTATAACATGCAAACACATAAACAGCTGCCCAACTGTACTGTATGTGTGTACACATACACACATACGGTACACACATACGCACACACCTGTACTGTGACCACCATGTGTTATTAGCATAGGACTATTTGTCATGTCAGGCTCAAATGGTCTCTGTCCTCCCATTTAGGGAGCTATGGGATAAAAGTGATGTATTACATACTATTTCACACACACACACACACACACACATCTAAACACACATATATGTACACATAGAGAAAACATAATATTTGAACACACAAAAAACAGAAATACTCACTCACTAACAGTTGCACTTACAGACAAACACATACACACACAGCTGCTTGAAACACAGAAATACACACACGCACACACACCTACACCCAATGGGGAGAGCTGCAGAATGGAAACAAAGTGGTTCAGCCTTTCTGAGGCTCTCAGCCTTATTAACAGTACCTCCCGTGGCCTACACACACACACACACACACAGAGATACAACCACACACCCACACACTCACAAAGAAACAGACCTCAACTTCTGTGGCTATTACAGTTAATAAAACCCATCCTGTGCTGTGGTTCCATGATGATTAACCTCGTTTATCATAGTTATCCAGGCTAACACACATACACACACACACACACACACAAATAACGGAGATAGGAAGAAAACAACAGCAGTGGAGCTTTTGAAAGAGAATTAGAAACAAAACCCAAGAAACTAAAATGTGTTGTTGGTTTGGGGTTCAGGTACGCACTCATAAGTTTACAACTCCAAAGTACATTTAAAGTATACTATGTATCATTTCATGTCGGCCTCAGAAAGCTAATAAAAGTACTGTGCAATAAATGTTAGGTCTATAGAGCATTTATTATTATTAGTTTTATCAGTATGATGGATCAAATAGTAAATCCTTTATTTGTTTGTCTGACTAAGGCAGAAACAGAAGCAAACTGTAGCAGTGTAAATGACATCAGATGAAATCAAATTTGACCTCTTAGAAACTTGTTGTGGCAAAATTGCCCCAAAGCCTTGGGGGCATTGAGGTCATTAAGTGGCATTAAAGTGGCATCAAAGCTTTAAGCTGATCAACAGAGAATTAGAGACCAAGGAAAAGATGACCAAGGGGACGAGTAGAAGTCAAATTTTTAGAGCTTGTGCCCCAAGGCTGAGTCCTTGCTGCAGTGGCCATGGTTTAAGTCCTGCCTGTGGCCCTTTGCTGTGTGTCATCCTTTATTTTTCTCTCTACCCCTGCCCTGTCACTCAGAAATCACATTTTCTGACTTGGGGGAAAAAACACTGCTGTCAAATTTGGTTTGAGAGAGAAACTTTGTGCAGCAGCATTACAGACCTTTATCAAACTGGTCTCTGGAGGTTGAAGAGAACAATGGTGAAAGGGATATTAGGAAACTTCAGATGGAAGCCAATGGTCTATAATCACCACACCAATTTAAGGAGGATATTCAGTTTAAAAGAGGGACTCCCTTTTAGGGACAATTACTTTAACTCATTAGTTGATTGAGAAAATGAATTGAGAACAAAGTTTAGTTGTTTAAAGGCAGCAACAAAAATAAACATGGACATTGTGATGGTTCTTTTCTTTCATTTCATTGACCAGTTGATCAGCGATTTAAACAGTCACAGTTGCAGCCACAAATAGACTGATTAATATTAATATTGGCCAATGATTTTGTGGTTTTGGAAGATTATGTTGACAGATTTTGATCAAACTTTGCTCTGTCCAAAGAAACAAAATCTGATTAAATCAATGTCTTGATTGATATTTCTCTTTACGAACTCGTAAGAGCCATATCAGTCAGCCAACACTTTGGTCCAGAACAAGATATCTTGCTCAGATTGCCATGAGATTTGTTTTGAATATTAAATGTCCAAAGAAAATTTGTAACCATTTTTATAACCCTTTTGAGACTATTGTCTAGCCTCACTATCTACACAGATTTCTCCTGACCAGCAATTTAATCCATGACACGGTATTGCAAGAACTAAGGGCCAGATTTCCTTGAAATTGCCTGTGATTATTCATGGTCTTGAAAGGATCGAGTCTAATGTTTTTGATGGCCCCTGATCTTCCCTCTATCACCACCCCCAGGCAAAAATTTCCACGTGCTGAAAGATTGCCTTGAGCACATAAATGTACCGATGAGTCCTTCCATTTTAAGAGGCAAAATGGGAGCAGAAGAGAAAAAGGAAGGACAGGTGGAGGAGAGGATGTAGAAAGGATGGATGCAGTGAAAAGAGGAGAGTGAGAGAGAGAGAGAAAGAGAAAGCCTGATTGATTGACGGAGAGGCAAAAGAAAAGGGCAGAACACTCTCCAGGGAGGCATACTCTCACAGAAGGAGCTGCAAAGTGGAACCTGTTTCACACACATACACACACGCCGCTACTGAACATGGAAGCACCCACGCACTCACCCACTCAATCAGGCACACAGGCACTCAAAGACCAATTGATGCACACACAAACACACATACACAGCCCTTTGCCAGCTGGTTGAAGCATGGCATCAGATTGGACCCAGGTGGCATCGTTCACTAACACACAGTGTACATGCATCCAGTGTACACAGAAACACACATACACACGCACACATGCAGGCAGATAGGCACACATAAATAGAGCCTTGATACATACACACACAAACACACTTAAGCCCAGCAGGCCTGTCCTTGAAGCTTTAAGGTGTATGGGGAGATTTATGTTTGCTGGACTCTTTCTTTGGCCCATTGCCTCTCACTTCCCTGATCCTCTTCCGGTCCTCCCATCATCCTCTTTTCCTTCGCCAGTTTGGCTCTCACTTCAAGAAAGCCCTTCTTCCTCTTTTTCTCCTTCACTTCCTTGATTTTTTCACTATGTTTTTATCTACTCTCACTATATCTGGCAGATAAAAGTGACATGATTCACTAATGAAGAGAAGATGGCCAGAAAATTAGCGAGAGAAAAGAGTGCTAACTGACTATTTGAGTCTTTGTGCTCCCAGCGAAGAGCCTATTGTTGAAATTTGGCAAGGTCGCCACTGCTCCTTTTCAGTGCCACGAGGAAGACTGTGCCTTCGGAGATGCTGTAGTTTGGCAAGCATGAAATCAGGGGGAAATTTTGGGACTAAGCAGCGCTACGCTGATTACTTGTCAGGCCAAGATTTGTTTGCCCCTGCAAACTGAGATTCAACCTTGTAAATTATTGATCTTGGACCAAATCCGGCCTGTGCTGGCTGCCAGCGACAGAACACTATAATAGGATTAAAGATTTGGTTTCTAATTCAAGGTTCCCTGTCTAAATGAGGAGAAAAGAATTTGCACAGTGTTCTGTATTAATAATTATAAGTGTTCTGCATTTATCAAGAGTGTCCTTCTCTGTTGTGTAACTGTGTGTAATTCACAAATGGCTGCATGTCGAGGTCGAGTTTAACTCCAAGTTTGTACTGTTGAACATTCAGCCAGTAACAATCAATTTACGCTAAAGAGCACAGCATTTTGTATTATGGAGGGCAGTGCACTGTGATTCTGCCAAGGCCTCATCTCTCTATCGCCTTTATTTTCTTAGTCCACACTGTATTGGTTAAATGACAGGACAGTGACCAATGATGGTAGCAGTTAAGTTTGGTCTGATCGTAACAGAAGGTGACTGGCCATGTCCATAATCAAGTTTTATCCCTCTCTAAGTGGTGAGGAGACGTGCACAGTTTAAATCTGGCATAATGTTGGCTCTACAGAGAAGGTCATAGTTTCACGAAAGTCAATATATTTATTCGCATTAGAGGCATTATTGTCCATACAAATTGCATGCCAACCTAAGCTTTAGTTTTTAAGTTATTCAAAACTGTTCCAACTTAATGTTCCAATAAAAGGGTGTGGTTTCTGACTCCCTTAAAATTCAAAGAGCACAGTATTTCTGTGGTTGCTACAGAAAAGGTATATGTGTGAGTAGAAATTTAGGGATGGTATTTGTGTAAAGGAATCTAAAGCATGTTTAAGACCCCATTACAAAACTTTCTACATACATAACATAACATAACATAATTTATTTTGTAAAATTAAGTTTTACACCACATTATTGAGCAACAGATGTTACTGTATCTTCAACGTTAACACCCTGATCTATAGACATGTCCTCCAAACTCCTTTCATGCTTTCCAACAAAGCTTTTGACTTAATCGCCCATAACAGCCTGTTCCTAGAATTTAAAAAAAAAGTATGTTTGCAGTATTCGTCCAACCCTGTTTACTCTTCATGTTGAAATGCCAAAATCACTAAACAAGCCCTGTTCTTACAAAAAAATACAAAACATTGCTATGGTTGGACAGTTTGGTTCCCAAGGCATAGCACTTTTGAGAAGCATCCATTGAGTAAAATGTGTTGATAAAATTGCAAAGCCTAAATTTGATCTGTGTCCTTCCTTTTCTTTCTTTGCACAGATACCTTTGCCAGTAAGGTAGCTGCTATCCAGGATCAGTATGCAGATGCATCTATTGGTAATGTGACAGGCTCCAACGCTGTCAATGTTTTCCTGGGCATTGGGGTGAGTTCAGCTCATTTAAAGATTAATTAGTTGATTCATAGCTTGTATGAATGCAGTGGTGAGTGTCATACTGCCGAAGTAGTAATTACTTTATTCGTAATAACTGATGTGAGTGTTGTTCTTTCATTCTATTATCTAGTCACGTTATTCAGTTTGATTCTGCTGATGCTTGACAGGTGGCGTGGTCCATCGCTGCCATCTACCACAATAGCAGGGGGGAAGACTTCAAGGTGGATCCAGGCACGCTGGCCTTCTCCGTCACGCTCTTCACCATCTTTGCCTTTATCGCCGTCGGCACACTGATGTACCGACGGCGGCCAGAGATTGGTGGAGAGCTGGGTGGGCCCCGGACTTCGAAGGTCCTGACCACCATGCTGTTCGTCAGCCTGTGGCTCCTCTACATCCTCTTTTCCTCACTGGAGGCCTACTGCCACATCCAGGGCTTCTAAGATAACAGGAGGGAAGGGTGGGACAGAAGGAAAACATGGAGGAAGGAAAGAAGAAACCAAGGGGAGGTGGAGGGATGAATGGATTTGGAAATTAAGGCTGTCTCATTGAGCTATCACTCCCTCACTTTACGCAATAGATTGAATGACAGATGAATGGATGGATGTACAGATGAAGGAATGGAGGACGGATTAAAAGCATCTAAAAACAGAATGGAATGAAGTATGGATGCATGGAAGGACAACGACAAAGAGGAAAATAGGAGCTAGAGAAGTGGCTCAGAAGAAGGAAAAATGGCAGAAAAAGGAATAAACTAAGGAATAAATTTGTTGTCTCGACCTATAAATCTAAACCAATCAAGTTGTCTTAAAATCCCCCCTGTTTTAAAATTATAAAACTAATCCCCAAATGTGTCCCAGCTGGTTCAACCATTCCAAAATAAAATGGACAATGAGTTTTAACAACACAAGGAGCGAAAGGTTTAAACAGACCATCACACCATCACAGCTCCTAATATATGTGGCTTCAACAATAGCAATTGCATTAACACCCACCCACTCCCCACCCCACACCCAGTTGGAGCTGTGCTGCTCCTGCGTCAAGCTACAGGCATGAGTGAGACAGAAAAGACAGAATATGAATATGACAGAACTGTATCAGTGTGTAGATGCATGGCCAAACGATGCTGAGAACACAATCAAAAGAAACCGGACATATTGCCACAACTGTTTAATGACAACAAACTGTGTGTGTGCTGGTGTGTGACTGTGTGTTTCTGTGCTTGTGTGCTGTGGCAAGATGGTTAAGTACTGTGAAAAAAAAACGCCTCTCGTTTTGCTGTCGCTGCGTGAGACAGAATATGCTTTCGTATTCGAGGTCTTTTTGACTGTCACTCTCCCAGCCTGTAGAAAATATGAGTAAGACTCTTTTTTGGGAGGTCATGTTCAGTGAAGCGAAATGTTTTGAACGGCACTGAGATTAGAAAATGTAAATACAAAGAGCTGAACGTACATTACGGCTCCACTATTTTCCTTCTGAATGTCTTGGTTACGCCATGCGCTCTTGATCGGGCCCTCTCTCTGTTGCTTTATACTGTAGATGTAAATGATTTAAGGTCTAATTTGAATCAAGAAGGGGTTAGTGTGCTTTTACCTTTAATAAGGCCATGTCTGAGAAGACAAAATGGTCACTCTACCGTTTAAAACTGTTAGAGAAACTATTATCATGCATAAATATTTAGGTTAATCTTACCTGTGTTGTTTTTGTTTGTTTGTTTTAACTGTGGAATTCTGTTACCTGGTTTTCCACCAATGAGATTGCCACGATTGCGTGTCAATGGTAACATTGCAATAGACTTTGAAAAACGTAAATACCGCCCTCTGTGAAACCTCATAGGCTGTCTGTTTCTTAACTGCCTCTGTCATCGTTTTTCTCACTTTGATGCCGCAACAGCTTCGGTCATTATCCCCATGTGTCTTCAGCACCTCCCCCTGGCTGGTCAGTGGACCAATCAAAATCCTCAAGGGCTTTGTAAGAAACAACCACTAATCCCTAACCCTGACCCTTGATTTATAATTTTTCACATAGATTGGTCTTGAGGGGGCTATTTAACAGGGATTTGTATTCCTTAACATTATACACCAACTTCTCAGTTGTTAGGACTTTGCTTCAGTGTGGCTTTAGAAGAAAAAAAAACTGCATGACAGTTTCATTGAGTACAGACATTGCCAGACCAAGTATCCAGAATTACCAAAATATTGGAAAAAGAGTCCAGATGATCCAAAGTTCTTAGTCAGACAAGGCTCAACCTTTCTTGGAGTCTTTCCCAGCTGATTACAAAGACTGCCGATAAATTGCGGTCCGCCTTTTCCAAATTAAACCATCCATGCAATGTTCTCTCCCAGGCCGTCTCCAATCATTATTATGCTTCTTAAATATACTACCCTTCAGGCAGGTGGGTTATGAAGGCCTTAACCAAAAGGAAGCGTTGAACGCCTGACGTTATATTGTTTCTTTATTCAAGGGCAAGTGTTTCCTCGTGAATGAAGAACCATAATGTAATCTGCGTGTTTCACCGGTCTCGGAAATCAACTGTTGACACTTAACTTCAGCAGCCAGTTTTCAGTCTTAACATATGAGCCATCAGATGAAATAATAGTTCAACAGTATTTGCAGATGCTAGTGAATACTGTTGTACAACAGTTGCCTTGTAGGGACGTCTAGCATAGGATACATCTAATCTCAGACAGCCAAACTAACAAGCTTATAGAGGTTTGGAGACAATTGTTTAACCCCCAGAAACTGCTCCTCTGGGACCTGTATCATAAAGTGAGTTTAGGTTAGATTGGTGATTCTGAATAATAATAGTCCGTCTTAGATAACCAAAGGTGGAGGTAAGGTGGAGTTCATAGGTCAAAACCATAACATGCAACATTAACAGATCAAAAGGAGCATGTTTAATGAGATTATATACTTTATTTGGGATTTTCTATTTACTATTTCATTAATTGAATTAATTCTTTATGCCTCCCTATAGTGGCAGAAATAAAAGTGTATATAAAAAAATAACAAATAAATGCATTGGACCACCATTCAATGTTGTGAATCCAACAGTAAATGTTATTAACTATTGAAAGCTATGCGGCACACTAGCTTCCAGCTTTATGTCAAAAAGTCTTGTTATAAAGCCAGAGTAGATATTTCCTTTCTCTCTAATATAATAATCATAGAAAGCAAAGTGATTCTACTTAACATGTTGCTCTGTGCTCTTTGTAGTCACAAGTGTAAATGACTAAACCACCAATCTCAGTTTATGATACAGGCAAAAATAGATTCTGAAATTAAGTTATCTGTGTTGTTTTTTGAAGTATAGCAACACACATTGCCTCAGCCCCCTTCTAACTGAAGTTGAGCTTGAATTTGACCAAATGACCGTGTGCGTGAAAGGGCAGGGGTCTGGCTGGACTAGTTTCCATCTAGAAAAGGCAACTGAGGGTTTTGAAAACACTATGTGTGCTGTTTTAGGATACTAGCTACCAAACATGATCTCATGCAAGAGCTAAGCTTCTTTGAAGACCCTTGTCAAGTGCTGGGTGTGAACACTATCACTAGAATACTAAACTTTCAATGAGTAGTCATATGAGCCATGTTAAATTACAAGAGCAACAGACTGACAAACTGATAACAGACACTAACTAGCTGGCATGATTCAGTCATAAACAGATAGAAGAAAATATCCTGAAAACATTTCTATGTGTATTTCTGGCCAAACTAAACACTTAAAACTGGCCCAAAAGTCTGTCCTGAATTATGTGTAGAATATTAATCTTGACTGTCGGAGAGGTTTACACTTCAGACTGTTAACTATTTTACTCGTTCAGCCAAATCCACAGAGATCTCAACGTTCACAGGACTTAGTGTATATGTAGGCATTCTAAAAGTCCATAGTCGTTGAATGGCACTATACTATATGCATCTCAATTGGCCAGAATTGTCCTGCTGATGTTGTGTTTTTTACTTGATGTATAATATAATAAGTAGTATTTTAAATGTCATCTGTAAAGTAAGTAGTCTGGGCTAGATGTAATCCATTTAAAACTTGGCAAAAATCTTCACAGACAGCGTTCAACCCCTGTGAGAGAGTAGAGCTGAGCAGAGCCCTGGATTGAATGAGTTTGGCAAATCCACAGTATCTTGAGAATAACCTATGTAAATGTTTTCGGTTTTGTAATTTGGGATATATTACTGATTCATCAACGATGCACCTGGAATAGAGAACCCCTCTGACTGAGTCTTCTAGGCCACGCTACATAGAGGTCAAGCAGAAAGGCTTGCATGCTAAAATCCATCTAAACTCGCATCTCTAATAAGTTCCCTGTAGCATGCAGACTTTTGTTATTTGCAGCACCGGTGTTGCACACTTTGGGAACAATATACTCCAACTCCAACATCAAATTACCCTTTGACAGCCAAAATTAAGCATAAAATAAGATTTTACTTACTTGTATTTGCCAAACTCCACACCATGCAGCTCTCCATTAGAGTAGCTTCTCTTACGAAGGCCTTGGAGTGGCAGTTTACCCCTGTTTTGCCAAAGGGAAATCTTTCTATCAGAAATTTACAGTCCAACCTGTAAAGGGTTTTCTAACCAATGGATCTTTCTTAAAACACCAAATATTATTCATATTTCATTAACACTCTGTAAGGAGACAAAAAAAATGCCTTGATGTTGTTTTAACCTAACCAGAATCTTTCTATTTAAATTTGTATGCATTTGTCTCTTCACTGGCATGGAGCAAAAGGTTTATACACTGTAAAAAGTTATGCTAGCTTGCGCAAAAAAGAAAAAAAAAACATTGTGAGAGCTGTTTGCATCACTTTTTGGGTAACTTCAATAGGGTGTAAATTGTCTTTGATATTTCTAAATCATGTTGAATTTACTTAAAATGTGCCTGCTGCCTAATTTGTCAGAGTGAACTTGTGCAGGAATGAAAAGCTTGCAGTAGTGTAGTTGTTTGCATCAAATTAGTTTGCTGCACAAATTTTCCAAACAAACATATTTCATTGATGGGAAGTTAGTTCTTTTGCTACACCGGCTTTGTTGCACAGCCTCTCTCAGTGTATCTACCTTGACTTTAAAGCTAGTCTGGCGTGAAGCTAATGGCAGATTAACGACAGCTGTTCAAAGCCCCACAGGGTTGGGACCAAGGTGGGAAACTAACCGTGGCTAATATGTTAGCCGCTACTTGCAAATTTGCCTGCTTTACCATGATTGTGAGTACCCGACCAAGTTCAAAGGGACTTCTCCAGGCAGAGAATCACAATAACACTTGAATTTAGCTTCCTGCCTTGGTTTGGACTTTTGAGGTTTGAAGGGGTCAAAGGTTAGCCAAGACACCGCTGTACAAAACACTAAGAGCAAGCAGAAAAAGGAGTAGAAAAATGAGCTGTAGACTACAGTAGATATTTTTTTATTCTTCTGTAGTGGGGATTGAAGAATTGGGCAGGGTTTTCAATGAAGGAAAAGCATTGCACTGGTTCTTGTCGCTTATGTGAAACGGCTACTATGTTGATTCATTGAAAACATTAACAAAGTTGCTTCTGATGTAAACAACAACAACATATTTTGTTTTTTTGACTCTGATGTACACAATAATAATGTTGTGACTGATGTAGAAAAAAAATACAATGGTGTTGAATCAGTTGTGAACCATTAACGATGTTGCTTCTGATGTAAAGACTGATGATGCGTTTTGGTTGCCACGTTCACTTCTTAACTGACTGTCTGTCTGACAGACTGAAGAATAAATGAACGCAACACCAAGCAGACAGACAAGCAAACGAACGAAAGGAAGGAGAAACACCCCTGCTGGTAGAAGCTGAGCGATGTCATGCTGAGACGTTGCTACAGCCATTAATGTACTGTTGGAAAAAACATTACCAGAGCTATTCTCTACCCTTAAAGTAACGTTTAACAAGTACGATGTAAGAGGATGATGATAAAGAGAGGAAGGAAGAAGATGAAAATTAAAGAAAAAGAAAAAAAAAACATGAAGTTACAGCCATACCTTGATTTCTGGGTCAGTGAGATTAAAATGGACTTCTCCTGCCCAGCATGTGTATTATTATGGTGTCTATCTGTCCCTCTGTGTCTCTTCCCCCTCTTTTTCTGACTTTCTTTCTCGGTCTCTCTGCTGCCAAAGCAACCAAAACAGGCAGCAACCCTTTTGTTCCGTCTTCTCGTCCCTTCTTCCCAAATTCCCTTTTTGCCCTCCGTCTCCCTATGCCATGTTTTCCATATTTTGGAATGTCAATGTGCTACTTGTTGACACTGTGCATGAATGATAACATGTCTGTATATAGTTATAGAGAATCGTATCCCATTCCCCTGGTGTTGACAAAAAATGGTTTGAATGTTGTACAGATTCAGGTTTTCTGTTCATCTTTTATTCTGTTCAGTTACATTTTTTTAAATGTATGTAGAGCTTAAACACAGTATGTTTTTAATTTAAACGAAAATGACAATGTAGTTTGTTTTGGAGTAACTTGCACATTAATGATTAATTAATTAAGGTTTTGTTAAAAAGGCAATATCTGCTGTTATTGAATGAGAGATGAGATCTTAAAAGAGTTATGTATCTTAAATAAATAATCTATACAGGAGTTGCATGGGTTATTTGTACAAAAAAAAGACACTGCTTGCTACTTCTAATACCGTGGCTGTATTCTCTGACAGAGGGCGTGGAATACTGTATGTATATCTAAAGGTTATTTTGTCATTAAAGAAATAATAATAATAATAATATTGTGTATATACTGTACAGTGTTATAAGTGAGGTGGACCATATGGCCATCACGCTAACCGTAGAGAATTAATTCTACATATTTATTTAAAGGAAACAAAAACACTCACTACACTCAAGAATGACATATATTGCCTTTTTGGAGAAGTTGTAGTGTGCTTAAAGCTTGTTTCTCTATCTCTGCCTCACTCTTTCTTCTCACTCGTCCTCTTTCTTCTTCTCTGGCTGGTTTATTTTCTCTTTTTTTCCTACTATCTCTCTCCCTGCTGTCTTTTTTTTTTCCTATTAAAGGGGCGTTTCAGATTGGCCTTTGTCAATATTTCCACTGTTCATTCTGACTCAGACATTGTCACTTTTGTCTGAGTGGCGTATGTCTGGCTGTTTATCCCACTGACTCATGTCTGCTTGTATTTACCTGTTTTCTGTCTGTCTTCTTGTACATTATAGTTATGTCCACATCTGTCTGTTTCTCAAAAGATCATTTGTCTGATACAGAACAGTCATTTTTATTGCTTGCTAAATCCCTCTCTTTTCATCTTTCTTTCTTTAATCCTTCCTTTGCTCCAGAGGATCTTTTTCCACCTCTCTTTCCCTCCCGCCATCCATTTTCCTTATTTCCTTCTCTGTCCTTCTCTTCACTCTCACTGGGTGTAGTTGGGAAATTCGTGTTTGTCAATTTTGATTTGGTGTGTTTTTTTTAAAAATTAAATAATAACCGCAACAGTTATAATGTTGGTAATAATGAAGATAATTTTTTTCTTTCTTTTTTTGCCGCTGTCCTCTGTGTGTGTGTGTGTGTGTGTGTGTGTTAGGTTGTTTTTTTTGTTTGTTTTTTATTAATTTTTGCTGAACACGAACTGATAAGAGGAAAGTTGTTGTATGTGTGTTGCCACTAACTGTGACTGCTCTCCATGGTACTTCTGATTAAACCAATAAAATAAAGTTTGGGATACCCTGTTTCAGAGACCCTGCGAGTCCACTGCCTTTCTAGACTGAGTGTGTGTTTGTGTTACATTCAATCCATAAGGAAAAGCTTCAACATGAAAGCTTAATTAGTATGCAAATGTCCATTCAAGTTTACATTTTAGTGAAAGTAAACTGCATCCAGCTATTGTGTGCGCGTGTCTCGCTCTTTCCCCTCCATCTCGCACTCAACCTCCCGCACAAACAAACATCCATTTTCTTTCATATGTTCAGATTGTCAAAGATGAAAATGACATTTGCCTGAATGGCTGACATCTCATTAACTGTCATCTGGCGTGTTCTGTCATTGTGTCGGAGATGGAAGCGATGGCTGCATCACCACTGAAATAATGAATGTGCATTGTCTGCATTTGCCGGGCTGATGCTTTTCTCTTTAACACACACATTCACCAATCTTTCTTTGTCAGAGAAAATTCAGAAGAGGTAAATTATCATTTGAATTAAAAGAACAGCTCATTTTAACTTACCACAAGATAGAACATTAAAGAGAATCAAATGTTTAACTAATTAATTCTGCTATCTGTATCAGAGCAGATTTTCCATTCATTTTCATAGCGCACAAAGCCAAACAGTTAAGGGATGTAATGACCTGTTGTCCTCATGTTATTTTTGTTATTCTGGTTAACTTGGGTGTGTGTGTGTGTGTGTACTTGAGGAGGGAAGACAGAAATACTGAAGATTATGTGATTGTATAAGATGAAGCAAGAACATATAATATTAATAGACAGATTAATACATCAGATCTGTACCCAACACACAAAAGTGGGTTCAAACGGGTCTGATTTCGAGTGCAAAGAGCTCCAGGCCTCCAGTATTTACTCAGATTTCATCCCATTGGTCCTCCAACTCACTCCAACAAAAATGTGTTGTTGTGCAGACTGGCTACTATCATGGCTTACTGGGACACTTTAATGGAACCAACAACAGAGTAATCATTAATGTTATCCTGTGCTTTTCCTACTAAAACAAGCCAAAATGCCTGCTGTAAAAATGGCAAGTAGATGGAAAAGTGTTACTGGCGAACCAAACCAATGAGTTGAAAGCTGCGTGTGTGTTATTTAGAAAATCGTTGCACACTGAGCTTGTTTTAAGCTACACTGGAAAGATGTGGAAAAAACTTAATAGATATAAAATTATGTTCGGCATCCATGGCTGAATGAATGGGGCATAGTTATATCAGGTAGAGCAGTGAAGTCACACTTGCATTAGCTGATTGGCAACACCTGTTTCATTCATGCTACCAGCTGTGTAATAACATCCAATCATATTCATACAGGTGTACATCAGGGCTGTTAAAATGTGACGGTCATGTTAAAGCCATTTGCTGTCACAGCTCCTTCCACCACTCCAACCTCCATGATTCAATATCCATTTATGTGCTTGAAGGGGGAATTAGTTCAGAATCCTCATTGCTGCAGGGGTTCTTAAATCTAATTGTGAGACCATTCGGTCAAATTAAATGGTCAATTCCTTGATGTACAGTAAATGTCAAAATGGGCTAAAAGGGGTCAGTGCAGATGGAAGCAAATTGCTTGTAAACACTGTTATGCTCCACAATTGGCCGGCCAACTGCACGTTGTCTGAAAGAAAAACTGGTCACTGACCTTTCCAAGCTTTTGTTGTAAATAAGAGCACAAACTTCCTGGTGAAGTGGAAGACAAAGTAGAGTTTGGCTGTAAAAATGACAACCTGCAAACCTTTTAAACAAACCATAAATGGTGTGCGTATGGATAGAAAGTTACACAGCTGGTCAGAAGAAAGCCTTTACCGTCATCTGACTGATGGAAGAGTTGTGTTCAGTTCTTCTCCTCGTCGCTTGCTGCCACTGTGATGGATTGTGCCCATTTTCTGTGTGCAGAGTGATGGATCCTTCCTCTTTCAATTAAACCCTTTTCCTGTTTGGGGAGTTTTTTTATGTTATTAGGAAAGTTTGTCAAGTATTTGTGAATTTGAAGTCCAAGACAATTTTGTTAGACATTTTGTCTATGTTAACTGCTTGCAGAATACAGTCTGTATGAGTGTGTCAGCAAAAGACACTATTTGTTGCAGTTCATTTTACGCTGTTGTTTCTTGTGTACCAGTGTTTACCTTGACACTTTTCATTACCTGCCCCCCGCTGTGTCTGTCTGAAATCTCATTATGCTGTCACATTTGATTTCTAGACAGGTACTTGTCTGGATGGTGCCTGCTTGCTGGTTAGCATGCTGGGAAATAGTATGAATATAATGTCTGTATGTGTGTGCATGGTTGCTCCTGAACAATGAATAATGCCTAAACTGTCAGAACGTCTGTGCTGGCTGTCAAACTATACACAACCTCTTAGTGAGAGACAACAGGACCAGCCTTGATTTTCTCTCCACTCTTCACTCCTCTTTGTTTTATCTGTCTGTTAGTGCTCAACCAAAGCCTATACGTTAAATAAAGTTCATTCAAAGGTCTCACAGAATGCTTATGTAGTTTTTTTTAGAAACTTTTGATATACATTGTACTTCCTGCTGTCTATTTTCTTTAGAGCACTGGTTCTCAGGGATCCCCTGGATCCATCGTTCCAAAAAATGGGAAATATTACTTACACTATTATCTCTTTGACTACAAGTTAGCCTAATGAGAGAATGTATAAGAATGACTACTCTGTTCATAGGCATCACACTCTTTATTGTTTATCTGCCAATCTATAGTATAGACAGTTATGGAATAACAAAATCTTATCAGTTGGTTTGGTTTGGTTTGTCCATTCTGGGCTACTGGTTCAACATGGTAGATTCCATAGGACCATAGATAAAAATGGCACATAAGGTAAAGAAAACAAATCAATTCTTAGTTTCAGGTGATTATATACTAATGAAAACATGAATATTATATCCCAATTCTGCCAACTGATCCTCCTAAATGTTACACACTGGACCTTTAAGTGGCATATGAAGTGTCTAAATTTAAGATGAAGTGAGAGAACTAATCTGTCTCTGTCCTTCTGGTTTCCTTGACAACACTTCAAAGGTTTTGCAAGGGTAATAACGCTGTCAGAATGAGATGTTCTCCACTGGGATCATAGAATTTGTGTATCTCCTATTAGCTTCTTGTTCTGGACCTCCAGAACTCCTGGATCTCAATTGTAACCAAACCAAAACTTTGTTAAGATTCATAACTAAAATGTTGTGTACAAAAACAGTTGTTTTGCAGCCCTATATGCAACAAACTGTGATGCACTGTGTGTTCTGACACCTTTTCTATCAGAACCAGCATGAACTTTTTCAGCAGTTTGAGCTACAGTAGCTCATCTGTTAGATCAGACCACACAGGCCAGCCTTTTGCTCCCCACATGCATCATTGAGCCTTGGCCACCCATGACCCTGTCTCTGGTTCACCGCTTTTCCTTCCTTGGACCACTTTTGATAGGTACTGACCACTGCAGACTGGGACCACCCCA